ATGCAGTATTATTGTTGCAGAGTGGATCTCTCGTCTCAGAGGACGAGCTGTTGTTGTAAAGGCGCGAATGTTATTGCAGCAGAAAGTTGTGGTGTCACAAAGCTGCGGTGGGTCTGCCGGCATTCCGTCCGTTGTGCGGATCACCTAAAGATATCGTCACTGGCAAATACGTCTCTTTCACTCGGCGGGGAGAAAAAAATCACTACCGATCCATGCGTAAATCTCGAACTCGCGAGGAGGTATCGTAACGTAACGCGACAGGTTGCAAACGTTCGACTTACGTTCTTCCGATTATGGGGTCTCGAGTTTCGTCTCCGAAAACGGGGGATATTTAGCAAGGATCGGTATACTCGCGTTGATTATCGCCTGTCCTTTTACGCTCACGTTTACGTCTTCATTTCGCTACGACCGCGAGCGGATCGTTATCTTTTATTGGATCCGATATACGTTGCTCGGGAGCAAACGGGACTCCATTTTCCAAGATTTATTCGCCATTCCTTTCGCTTCAATAAACGATAAATTTCTCGAGTTCGTTTCGCGGACGAGAATGTGTCTCGCTTCTCGTATCTCGTAACGTAACGTTTGATTAAATCGATTTGCTCGTTTTTTTTCTTTTGTGTATATATATATATATATCTTTACGCGTCGTAAAAGCGTAAAAATCGAGGGTTTTTCCAGCGCGAAAGCGAGAGGTTTTAAGTTGGTTAGGTGGAAATGGAGGACGAGTGGCGCGGATTCTTGACAAATTTTAAGATTGACGGGGTAGGAACGTAGGCGAAATCGTTGGTAATAATTCGAGGAGCCACGGAGGACCACACAAGATCGAGGATGAATCCTTGGAGGGTCCTGACTTCTGAGACGAAGGTATTATACCTATACCTCGTGGCACGTTACGATGAAATAAAACGTGAACGTACCTGGCATGCCTCCGTCCACTTTCAAAATCTTCTCGTGGATCCTGCGGGACATCCTCAGCCGCATCGTTACGTTAATGGGACGGACTATTATTTAATTCCACTAAATTGCCGGCCGGCCCCCGAAACAGGCGTAAAACCTCTTAAAAATTGCCGCAGGAAACTTCTTACTCTCTCCACCCGATTCTACGAAAATCGATTCGACCGATACGAATTAAATAGAATAAAAATTTTTCGATGCGACGTCTCGTTCCAATTGTTTTCGCCGATATCTAATTCTCTCCTCTTATCCAATTACCATTATCTCCCTAATTTATACACCAGATAAATTAAATATATCGAAATATCCTCTACTTTGCTCTTTTATCCCAAAATTATCAATAATTCTGCCAGTGATAAGAAGTTAAGATTAATCGAATATCTCTACAACATGCACGTTTTCTTTATTATATATCGAAAACCAAGATTTCAAGAACGAGGAAACTTTCGTCAAATTATTATTTCGACATTTCGAAGGAAACGATTCTGTTCCGTGTAAATTACTTTCTAAAAAAAAAAAAAAAAAAAAAAAAAGAGAGCAGAGAACGATCAGCTTATGATACGATTGAAGAAAAAAGATTTAGGTACTACTGTGTCGTTATTCATCCGGGGAAAAGAAAGAACACGGTGCGCTGTGTAGATATTGCGTAGCCGTAGCTTGCATATGTGCGGGAGTTGAATTACGTGGTGCGAGTGTAAAGGAAGAGAAGAAAGGAGAAAACGTATTAAAAGGATATAAGAGAGCGGGCCGCGACCGCAAACTGATTAAATGCGGTTTACCCAGGCTACGCTGCGAGCTTTGGTATACGCCACACTCGTGTAAGCTACACGAGGAAACTCCTTACGATCGCGTTATGATCTCGCGAACATCTATTACGTTTCCATCGTTTCTCTTCTTCTACCTTCGATTCCCTCCAACGATCGAGTCGAAATTGATCATCGAGTTGTTTTTTTTTTTTTGACGAAGTATCTCGAGTGCGAGGATCACGGTTAAATCACGGTAATCGCGATTGAAACGATCGATCGATTCGATCGAGGGAGATAGCGATTCTGCATCAGATTAAAAATTATCAACGAAATATCGAAAATTTTATTTACATATTGGTAATACCCTGGCGTACCGATAACGAGGAAGCCATTTTGAAAAAATTTCATCGAAAAAACATAGAATTGCATCGTACAAGGATCGTTCAAAGATCGAAAGAAGACGCGTTTAATCTTTGTTCGTAATTTGACCATAAAACGTAATATCGTAATGCAGCACTCGACGAGGCAGTCTCGCTCAGAGACAATATTTTTAAATCGTATACGTCGTATAAAAATTTATATCTATCGAGGGACGCGAAGAAAATTTCTGATCGTTCCAGGAAAAGACGGATAAGAAATAAATACGAATTTGAGGAAACACGGCCGTTTAAGTTTTTCGCAGCGTTTCTTCGTAATGGCGTTTCCTCGTCAAAAGGGAAAATGAAGAACGGCGTTAAGAGGGACCGGGAGACGTTCCGGTTGTTCCAATTGATAAGCGAGCTAACAAAGGTTGCGGCGTCGTATGATTTAAATGCTTGGTAGTAGGTTTCAGGTATTGGAGGCAGGTATTTCGGGCGCTGGCATTTGTCACCTTGGGTAATTAAGCGCGCACCCCAATTTACCCTTATTCCGGGGCAAGCCCTTGGTCTCGAGTTTTTGTTCGGTTCCTTCCGGGGCGAGTCGAAAACGGTGTTGCGGGTCGTTAGGTAGCACGACACGAACGGGCCGAGATAGCCAAGATAAAGGATCGTGTCTCGCGGCGATCAAACGTGCCGATCTTCAGGAGCGTAGCGAAACGTTTGCCCAACTTATTTCGAAATAACAAACGCGCTTCATTTAATTTTTTACTTAGTACGGCCGATCGACCGTTCAAGGCTTTGCGTAACCGGCCTTCCCCCTCGTTTACAGGGAACACGGGTCTCGACCAGAGATTTACATAGACTCCGGGGGAACGTGTCCGGAGAACTGTGTCAATATGGTACGGCCCTGCGAGGTGCCAAACTCTCTCTCTCTCTCTCACACTCTCTCTCTCTCTCGCAACAACAGTTCTTCCCTTTTCCGTGAACGGAAAATTAGACCATTCGGGATACGAATTTTGGCGACAACTAGCCGGAACTCTAATAAGAGCCGAACGAATCTTGGCTCGGCTCTTTTTCCATGAATTTTTACCGACCGATCCTTTTCCAAACAGTTCCGAGATACCGGCAGAAATTAATTAACGATGCTCGGAGCAAATATTGGCTTCCAATGGGCGGATCGTTAATTATCTTTTAAAAAATTCGTTGGATATCGTCGGTTTGGTTCTATTTAAAAAGAGGGAAGAAGAAAAAAAAACGAAAGGATTATTTAAAAAAAGTTGCGAAGCGATTTAAATCCGTTTGTTGTCCGTTATCGGGGTATCGGATTTCTCGCATCATAAGCAAACTGCAACACAGCGAGGCGATTTTTAGAAAAATTGGAAAGCGCGTTTGCGCGGAATGCGTAGCAAACTCGCTCTGACATTCTGCCGCGAGCGCACCTATGCGAAATGCTTGCACGCGCAATGTAATTCTCCACCACTGGACGCCGACAGAACCGCGTGGAAAGCAGAAGCGCGGCTTTCCGTTCTCGCGGGACATTCCGTCGCTCGTCGATCGATAATTAATCGTCTGGGAAGCCCGTCGGTTGGGAAACATTTTTTTCCCTCCTTTTTTCCGATCTTTCAAATTCTTTTCGAAAATCGATCGAAGTTTGGCCCGGTTCGGCGGTCACACGCCATCGACATCGCCGTATATCGAGATACATTTAAAATAATAACCGTGGCGTTGACACTGTCTTGGGAAAACAAACTTGGATCACCTTGGTTCGGATTGCGTAACAACGACGCAACGTCGCGCGTCATCCTCGGTGTATGCTCGATTCAACGAGAAGACGGCCTGTAGATGTGTGTAATTTATATCGCGTGGCCGTCATTCGGTCGCTGCGAAATAAAAATAATAATAATAAGCGACGAGAAAAAAAAGAAAAAAAAAAAAAAAAAAAATAAGAAAAGAATCGATGGAACATCGAACGCGACTATACCACGATACCGTTTTCGTTGTTCACGATTTCCACTTTTAAATCAATCGAATTCAACAATTTTTAAATCGTTCGCGTTGCAATGAAATTCCTTCGAAAGAAGGAAAAAAAAGAAAAGAAAAGAAAAGAAAAGAAGAGAAGAGAAGAGAAGAAAAAGAAACAACGAGCGATAAAATTATATAGTCGAGCGAGCTTGTAAAATTTTCGAAACGAACGATAGACTATCTTGGAAAAGAAACGTATTAAAGGAAAACGCATATTGGAAAACGTATAAACAAAACGGTGAATTTCTTCGACGTTGGTTTATCGAAGGAAATGTACGTTTATCGATAAAAATGTATGATCACGAGTATCGATTATCGTTTCTCTCTCTCTCTCTCTCTCTCTCTCTTTCTCTCTCTCTCTTTTTTCAGCAACAGATGAAAACGCGAAGGAGAAAGCGAGACGAACGATATCGTCGAAGCGTACCTGTCGAAAAAGGGTCGTCCCCCATTTTTGAATCCATCGTGAAACGTCGTAGACACTTTTTGCGCGCGTTTCGTTAGCAGCGAACGCAGCGCGGCACGCTACGCTACGAGAAAGAAAGGATGGATGGACGGATGGATGGAGAGAGAGAGAGGTGGATGGATATCGGTAGGGTTGCAAGGGTAAACGAAACCCGTAAACGAAAGGGTCGATGGGGAGGCAAAAAGCGGGAATGAGAGGGGCAGGGGATGAAAAGGAGTGAAGAGAGAGGAAAAGGTGGTGGAAGGGAGGGAGAGAGAGAGAAAGAGTGGGAAAGAGATATTTAGGAGGGGGTAGTAAGAGAGAGAGAGATAGTAGGAGGAATGGAGGGGCAGGCTCGTGTGCGGAAGGAGTGGAGGGGTTGGAGGAGAGGGGTGGGGGTACGGCCTAGGCAAGGAACGGCAGCAGGGCAGCGGCCAGGTAAGCGAGGAGCGAACACTAGTAGGGCTGACTCGCGCGCCTCCGAGCCTCCGCGACTCTCACAACCAGCGGTTGTATATCGTCGAGTGCTACGCCGTTCCACGCTAGTGTTGTTGCGCTCCCACCGTCGCCGCTACGCCGTAGTTGTGCTCGTGCAGTGACAACGCGCCGTGCTCCAACGTGTTGATCCATCGGCCGACCGATCTCCTCCGCTCCACCGAAACGCAACCATTATCGACCACCGCCACCGATTCCGTCTCTTTTTCCCCTTTTTCGTGTTTCGTTTCTCATCGCCGCATCGAGCGGGGAACAGGAGAAGGAGGAGGAGGAGGAAGAGGAAGAAGAAGAAGAAGAAGAAGAAAAAGTTTCTTACGGACGCAGATTGGCCCCGAGTATCCTCCTCTTTCCTCGGCCTTTTTTTCTTTTCACCCGGAGAGAGAGAGAGAGAGAGAGAGAAAGAGAGAGAGAGGAAGAGAGAGTTCACCCTATTCGCATCGTAACACGCCACTTTGGCCGAGCGCCAACCATCTCCAGCAACGTTAGCGGCCACCTAGTCACAAAGATGTTGGCGCAAATCCAAGTGCGCCCGGTGGTTTCGTGCTACCTGCGCTGCGCCGGGGTTCTTACCGTTTCCACCTTCGAACACAAGTGAGAAAGTGCGTTCCGAACGATCGGCAAGGTTGGAGGGGTGAGAACGATCGCGATAAAGTGCCCGATGCGAGTGAGGAGTTTATATCGTTGCCGATCGATGCGTTGGTCGTTGGCTCGATCGTGGTGATGGTGGGTGCGAGGCGATCGATCGGGATCGCGTAACTCGTCCGCGCCGCCGCCTTATTTTTCCCGCTCTTCTCGCTTCTTCTCCTCCCGCCCGACGCCGCGATGCGCGAAAAGTCTGGTTAATCGATCCCGTTTTTTCGCGCGCGATACGATCGTGGACCGATCGAGGCCGATGAGAGGGTAAAGGATCGTTCACGAGTGCGCGAGGAAAATTGGATCGGCGAGAAATCGATGGGAGAAGTGGAAGTGGGTGGAAAGTATCTCGTCGACGGAGGAAGAAAATTGCATAACGAGCGCTGAATGCAAGGATTTTGAAAGTAGCTCCAGAAGGCCAGCCCGACGCGATGCGTCGACGCTGCTGACGCAACGCGCCTGGATGCGTCTCACTTTAAGCACGTGAGTGAACCGTTTTCTTTCATTTTCCACCAGCTCGCGGGGGAAGACGTTTCTCTCGCCCTTCCCCCTCCCTCCCCCACCACGACCCCCAATTAAAAATGACTCGAAAGGGATCGGATGGACAAACGATCTCCTCGTGTCCGCCACGATACTCGGATACTTGAACGTTCCCCGGTGTGCCTCGTGATCGTGCACACACGTGCGCGACGCTCTCTCGAATCGTCCTCTCGATATCCACGCGCTCTCCACGATCACCCCCTTGCCTGCATGCTCGGTGGTGCGGTGTGCCAGTGTGTCCCGTTGGTGGTAGTGGTCGCGAGTGCGCACGCGACGACCGGTGGTGAATGATCCTGACTCCGGGCTGACAAAGGTTTTCGTACACGAATACTGGGATGACGTCCGCTTCGGATTACGCGCTCTCTTCACGATCTCGTCGCTCTACATCGTCTAACGCGCAACCAAATGTAAGTGTTCTCTGCCTCTACCTCTGATTCTTCCGCCTTCTTCTCTCTCTCCCCCTTCGTCCCCGATCAACAACGCTTTTCTTTCTTTTTCTCCCCTTCCTTCCTTCGATCTTCCCTTCCATCGACGATCTTGACGCAAACGCGATTAAAGGAGAGATGATACGTATGTATGGGTACTCGGATAACGGTACTTTGGCTGGCAGGGGGTGAAGCGCCAGGAAAGCGCAGCGATACAAGACGCTTGAGAATTAATATTTCTTCTTTCGCGCATCGGGAATCTTACGAATTTTACCAACATCGCGATGATTTTAGTTTAGTTTTAATACTTTTTTTTCCCAATCTTTGCTCGATGATGCAAGTACGAGGCAATTTTGTAAATTGAAATACATATACATATATTTCGCAACGTTTGACAATCGATAAAGATGGATGCTTTTCTTTTTTTTGATCTCTATTGGTCAATTTATTTCGAATTTCGTAAAATTTCGTCGTACCTCTGTACTATTAAAAGATACCTTATTGAATTAGATATTTACTTGCGATCTGATCTATCATTTTCCGAGAAACGAGAAACGAGAATGAGTTTCGCGTTAGCGACGGATGTAACCGATGATAGAATTCTGTTACTTGGCTTGTTATCGAAAACGATGGATTGTCAGTTGGAAAATCAAACGATACGTGGACGATAAGCCAACATATTTTAGATAAGCGAAACGCGCAATTAAAATGCTTTCTGAATGAGACTCGTCCGATTAAGCAACGATCGCATAGACCGTCCGGGTCCCAACACCGTTCCACTTTCTTCCGTATTTCTCTCTCTCCTCTCTTATCTCTTACTCTATCTCTTCCTCCGTTTCCGTCGTTCCGAAACGGATCTTCGATCGACGTGAACCTTTCTTTCTTTCTTTCTTTCTTTCTTTCTTTCGAAACGATAAATCAAAAGCAGGATCGTTTTCTTTTGTCTCCGCAAGATTGGCTTTGTGCAATTTCTTATCGAAATTCTGATTTTTCGGTCAACTCGATCTCGCTTTTATCGTATAAAATCGGTAAGTGAAGCAAAGATTTTCAAACCGTTACGCGTTGAATGACGAAAAATTCGTGAAACAGTTTATGTAAGAGATAATTTTCCGAATCTTTCTCATTCGATTGCGTTAAAGTTATTCGTATCGTACGTACAACGAATGTATATCTCATATATTTGACTAATTGCGCTATATTCCCCAACGATAGATCGGTCTGTTATTTTTACACACATCGAACACATGTTCCGATAACGTAATCTGTCTCCACCTCGTGTACGTCCACGATAACGAACCGGTCAATTACATTTGCTTCCAATTATTCTTCCTCCTTTATTTTTTAATTCGAATTTTCAATTCGAACGAGTATCTCGGATAGAAAAGGAAAGAGAACCGGGAATAGGAATTCTAGGGACATTTTACGACAATTTTCCCCGTGTATCGACCTGGATACGGACAATGTTCTACGAATGTGACGCGACTCGCGAGCCACGATTCGCGTTACAAACGCGCAAACATTTTAAATACTGGAGGCATACATGTGCTAAGATGAATAACAAGCGAACACAAGAAAGATTTTAGCGAACGTAAATCCGGTTGTACCGATCCGATGATGCACTTCGATCCATTATTGACGTGCGTCGCAAGAATACGCAAAGTGAAACGTTTTAAATCTTGTTCGCTGGTATTGTTTGCAAATCGTTTCGTCGATTCGATAAGCCTCTCTCCTCAAAAATTTTTATACATTTTCTTACAACCGTATATACTCATACACGCGCATGAAATATTTCGAATCGATCGTGAGCGGTTCTTTTCTAGTTTCTTTTTTAGTTTCTCTTTCTCTCTTTCTTTCTTTCTTTCTTTCTTTCTTTTTCGACAGAGTGTATCGAACAGTAGGTTATAGCGATACAAGTACGAGGGCAATCCAATCAGGGAAAACAAGGTCGCGGTAACGATATTATCCGCCTCGTGTCACGGATTGATATCGAATACTATAGAGGTAAGGCTTCGTCGAATAGCTTCGAATAGCATCGCGGACGTAACACCGTCCAAACGTTATTTTTTCTAGTATTTCTAGAATCGACAAAATTTCAATAAATCGCGATTTCTGTTCGCGGCTATAGATTTAATTTTGATCTTATCTCGTCCGAGCGAAGGAACACGGTATCCTGGCGAAACGTATCGTGAGAAATTCGAGCGAGAAAGTTTTTCGAGTTTCGATAAGTTTCCAGTTTACGGGCTCGACTCCGAAATACCGAAGAGCGGCTGTCGATCGGAATGGAAAGTGGAGGATTCTCGACGTGCTCTAATAGAAGATCCATTACCTTTATCGCCGTTTCAACCTCCGATTCCACCCAACCACTTTGTCGCCTTCGATTGGGTAACGATGGAACGAGAGTTCACACGGGAGTGAGATTTTCTCGGAGATCGAGCGGCAATTTCTTATCGATAATTTGGTCAATTACCAGGTTCGATATAATGCGTGGCGAGTGAAGGTTCTCGTTTACGAGGGTAATGGTATTTTTCCCCTCTCTCTTTCCCTCCTCGTTGGTACCAGGTGTACCAACCGATGATTTTAGTCGACTTATCTCGCTCGGGGGACGCCGATCGACCGATCGAGCCGAAGATGGACCTCGCTTCCTCCGACCCCTTCTCCCCTCTAGCCTAGAATTCCACGTATTTTCCCATCCCGTGGAAAAGAAGAGAGAAAGGAAGAGGGGAAAAAAAAAAAAAAAATCAGTCGATTTCGATTTATAATTCAAAGTTATTTCTGCTCGGCTCGATTTAACGGCGAAGGGGGAGCGCGAGAGTTCGAACAACGACCTAACGTCATCGTTGTTTAATAGGAATTTCCAGTAAGGCTGTTTGAAAGAGTACGGCCGCGTAACAAACACAGTATGAAAGTAACTTAACGCCGTGCGTATCGCGCGTACTCGTTCTCCCTTCATGCGCATAAGCGCGCGCAGTTCCAGACTGCACGGGGGAGCGATTGAAAGAGTGACACGGCCAAACGCATGCGTTCAGGTTGTAGATTTCAATACCGCCGACGATAACACGTGCAACGGCTTTGCCTCGAGATCGGCGAATATAAAGAGCTCGGTAAAAAGCTTCTCCATTCATCGGATCGTTTGATCAAATGGATTTACAATCCGTGTATTCGAACCTCGCTTCCCGTTTCATAATTACATAACGACACCGTGGCGAGGCGAACACAGCCGTTCGTCCCATCGTTTCGATTTAGATTTGATAGATTTGAACGTTGGGAGGAGGCGACGAAGCGAGGCGTTCCTCGATCGCGCCTATTCGAGTTGTATCGGCGATGATTGACGGCGTGGCAGTCGGCGCCAAACGTCTCAGCCGTCAGATTGAGTTTCGAGCCCGAGGCAGACGCGAGAGGCGGTCCTCCCGCCGCGGTGTGTGCTGCCTCGATGCTACCAGCGCTACCGGCTACCCGGTGTGCAACGCGCTGCCTCGTGATATTTCTACGTCCCGTGTTCGTTACGGGGCGTATACAAGTCGAATCGGTGTAAGGTAACGCGGCTAATCCTTCGAAATTACGCGCGCGGTTTCCAACAGCTGCCGCGGGAGGAAACACCACGTAACCATCGGGTACGGTGGTTTCAACAAGCTACGAGATACTCTTTATTCCTTCCACGGATCCTTCTCTACTCACCTTATATTTACCTCGTATCTCGTGCTTTCTTCGTTTCTATGCTCTTCGTCGTGCATTATCATCGATCGGTGGTTCGAGACGGCGCAATTTCGACGATACTCGTTTCAAAATATCGAGTATAGATAGAGTCGAAATCGAGTCGAAAAATAAGGTATATATATGTATATATGGGATCGTTAGAAGAGACAAAGCGCAACTCGAGTTTTCGCATAGGGCGCGCAAACGTTATACGTTTGTCGAAGGAGTAGATTATACGACGAGGAGGAGCGAAAGCGAGACATTAACCGAAGCGACGATCGATCGACATTCGGCCAGGAATCGCCAGACGGGAGGAAAGAACAGCGAAGCCCCCCTCCCCTCCTCCCTTCCCTGAGCTCGCAAAGGGGACGCAATACGGTTTTCTGGTTTAACAACGAGTCATCGAGGATCCATCCGTTGATGGATCTGGGGCGATACGGGGCGGAAACGAAGGAACCGCGGGCAAACGACGCGCGACGTACGATTTTGCCACGTCCATTTCGCCTATCTTTCTATTTTTTCCCCCCTTGTTATTAGCCCGAAAGGGGAAAGACGAGCCAAAACGCGACCATTTGTGACGGTCGTTAACCGAACGCCGAGGCCGCATCCAGATCGGGCTATTGCACTTTTAATGTCGCCTCCCTGGGAAATATCCAAGATTTGGCCGCAAAGAAGCATATGGAGGAGAAGCTGGGCCGTTCGTATAAAGAATAAAAGATGTGTAAAGAGAGGGAGGGGGGGGGAAGAGAGAGTTTAGGTTCGCACGCACGGCCGTGCGTCGTTCCCACCCTCGCGAAATAATGGGGACCGTTCGTTCGCCTTTTC